ACCTTATTCAAAATCAATGCGGTCCCATGGCCCAAAGTTAAAAACTGTTGTTCTTTTGAGGCCCTCAAGGTGGCGCTCGCGGCCCACGGGTTAAGAATCTCTGATTTAGACATTACAAGTAACTGCTTCAGCACATTGAGTTGTGAGGTTTTGTTGCTCATGAGCTATAACGGGTTTTTTTATGTTTAGAAAATCACCGTCTGGAGTCTTCWTATCAGAATCACCTGATTCTCAAAGTATTAGTGGTGAGTTTATCGGACTCGTCCAGGTTTCTGCTCTGATCAGAGTGTAGATTTTATTGTTTATTTCATCACAGCTGTTGTCTCTGTTTAGTTCAACTTCTTCAACTGTTTTGCCTCGCTGTTCTACATCGCCTTTGTCATGCGGGACATGGCGCTGCTCAGGCATGTAGGTACACCCTCCTTCTGTTTGATGTCTTTTTGCTGTTACTCAGTGCTTACATTATCTTCCTCTCTGCCGTCAGAGCCTGGCCACCTTGCTGATCACCAGTCAGATCTTGAATCAGATCATGGAGGCCTTCTTGCCCTACTGGCTCCAGAGGAGACGCAACAAGAAGATGGTCCGCAAAGTCCAGAAGAGACGAACSCTTGAAGGTAAAGCTCTTCCTCTGGAGGAGCAGGTTCGACTGGAGGCTGATATGAGCACATACCTGGTGAGCACACATCTTCAAATCAGAACAGCAGACACATGAGTTACGGTGTGTAACCTGAACGTCTCGCTGCCCTGCAGGGAACATTCGATGACTACCTGGAGCTGTTCCTGCTCTTCGGTTACGTCAGTCTGTTCTCCTGCGTCTATCCCCTGGCTGCTGTCCTGGTGGTGTTGAACAATGTCACCGAGGTTTATTCCGATGCCTTCAAGATGTGCCACGTTTTCAAGAGACCCTTCGCCGACCCCGCTGCAAATATAGGAGTGTGGCAGGTGAGAGGCGAGCAGCTGGCTGTCAGATCAGATGTTACACACACTTAAATGAAAGGATGACTTGTGTTTATGAACAAACGACAGAAACAAATGTTCAAATACAGTTACACACATGAAGTGGGGTCCAATCAGAGTGGAGACCCCCCACCCCAACGCCAGAGAAGAAGCTCAAGTGCCTGACTGCTGCTGTGTTTCTGTCTCCGTTCAGCTCGCTTTTGAGGCAATGAGTGTGATGGCCGTGGTGACCAACTGCTCACTGATCGGCATGTCTCCACAAGTCCAGGGCTACTTCCCCGARTCAGAGACGCAGCTCATACTGTGGACTGTGGCTGTCGAGGTAATTCACATGTGTCGGTCTGTGCCGTGTGCATTCAGACAGGTTGTTTTTGTTTGTTTGAAAAAAAAAAGAAAATTTGGAACAGACAAGCAGTCACTTTTTATTATTTATTTATTTTGAGACAAGTGGTCTGACTCAGAAGTTGTCTCTGCCCAGTAGACGCTCCACAGAAAGCCTTATATTATGACTTTATCTGGATTGAAAAGACACAGAAACAGAAAAAAATCAGAGAGATCAGGATMTTATCGTGTTGTCAGTTTTCCGAATCAGCAAGTTTGAACCATGTTTGAACCATCTGATCTCCATGGTAACTGATGCTGGCTTCATCAGATACAAATTGGTTTTGGACCCATTATGCCACATGTCTCAGAGAAATAAAAGATMAAAAGCGAGAACTTGTCATTATTTTTTCCCTTTTTTTGGTGCACAAAATTTGGATAAAAATTTGTTAGCTGAATTTTCATTTTGGAAAATCTAAAAATAATTAATAT